TGACGAGATGATAACGGTCACCGCCTTTGGGGAAGGTAAGACGCTGTTGCAGCAATTAGATTTTTTTATTCTTGGAGATGGTCTACTATTTCTTGCCTCTTTTGCCTTGAAGAGATGAATGTGGAGCGCGCCCGATTTACATTCTTAGGTGGTACGAACACCGCGGTATGTGTGGCTTCGACTAGTTTCAATCGTCATGTTAACGGATGTAGTACACATAAGTGCTCATTCTCGCGTATCTTGAGATCGCATGCTCAAATCCATGAAACTCTTTGTTCTACTCATCCAGGGGGATAGATTTCATCGTCTCGATTCCCAAGCATTTAGACGGTAAGAAAATCACGGAAAGACCCTTCATTTCATCCACCCAGTCGGATGGCTCTTGGATGTCCCTCAAAATCGCATTTTTAAAATCAACCAGTGCCTTCTGGTGAGCGATGAACGCTTCCGGTCTTATGTAAACCGATTCCCTGATTCTCTCGGGATCAAAGATTGTCAACAGCTTGTTGGGCTGATCTACCTGTCATTAGGACAGATGTTTCAAGTTTTTTTGTAGAGGATACAATCATTCCACGACTCGCTCTTGGGCTTGACTAAAAGTGCTACCAAGCGCAACGAGGTTGCTTATACAGCGAAAACTTTGACTCTCAGATTTTGCGTTAACAAACACAAATATGTTAGGTTCGTGCGATCCTTCAAGGAGTGTAACGGAGAGCCTTTGAAGTAGCAAAATACTGTTGGTTTGCTATGCCATTTCATAAGTACAACCATTCAGGATTTATTTGATATAAATCGATACTGAATATATCCATTTCATTATCTCTCATAATAACACTGACTTTCTTTTCTGTCTAGCCACTTCCGTAATCTTCATCAATACCGATATTTCGGTACTTGTAAAAAGTACAATTATACCAAGTGTCATGTGAATTCCGTCAGTATTGTATTTGATTTAATTGTACCAAATATCAAAAGGTATAGTGCAAACGATTGCACCGTTCCATCATTGCTAGATATGCTTATTTTATTCGCCCGCAGCGTTGCGTGCTAAAGATGGTGTGTTGTCCATCACGCTGTTCCCTGAGATTGGCTAGGGATTCCAATCGACACCGGCCGCTGTTGCATAAAAGCCAGACACTGATCGCCAGGATTCGACGAAAAAAGCGTAGTGTCAACCCGTTGGGGTTCTTGAAGAACAACTATTATTTCTTCTGATCAGAATTTTGCAGGCCAGCTGTTTCGTAGCTCACTTGATTTATTCTAAAATTATTTTATAATCAGACGGCTGAACATTCACAGGATCGACATTGCTCATTGTTTGTTTCACAATGTCCGGATCAGATTCTATAGTACACAATAGCGGCGTAGCATGCAAGTTTACGCTTCTAACTTTGCAAGATCCATCCTTTGTCAGTCAGAAAGACTTCCTCACTACTAGAAATTTTATCAGATAAGGAACAAGATGTTTATCTCTTACCAACCTGACGACATAAACCATATGAGTAGCTACAGCCATACGACACCACCTACTCAATCATGTCCCAAAGCTGTTTCTTTTTATGCTCACATCGTCGTATGAATAATTGTGGCTTTGGCAGTAAGACTTTTCCGAGATGGACGCAATCGGGAAGATAGCCTTAAACAACTGCTCTTTTGTCCTTGCAGAGAATGCTGTAAAACTTGACGAATTCAACGAATCTCGAAGCAGTGAGCATGACGAGGCGAATGAAAAGAAAGTTCAAGAGATCAATAGCTCGCTCATTAGAACAAGAAACGCGAAAATTAATCAAGCGCGCGACGATGCAGCTGGCCTGAAGATTTCCGAACGATTCGAGAACTCGAATAAGTGAAATGAGCGAGATGTGTAACGGGGTTACATGTACCCTTGTATGAAAGTGGCCGGGTCACAGAAGGTGTGACCGCAAAACGGTGTGGATTACACAAATTAATGTAATCACACAATGGTGTGGCTACACCAGCCACTACGTGGTAGGACTGTCAGTAGTTATGCATATTAATTAGGTTTTACTATATTAATCAGGAAAACCTAAGGTTTCAATCGTACTGATTCTTCTATAGAGCGTAAGGTCAGTGACCCTGGCTTAGCTTCCTCTAAGCAAAGAGCTACGACAGCCCCGCTGCACGTGGTAGCACTCGTAGTCAACCTACGCCGGAGTCGTTACGACTGACCCTCTGTGAGGATACTCCTATTTACCTCAGGGTATGCAGGACGGGTTTGATAAGCTGATGTCCCTGCTGGGCCCTGAGAGCGTGAAACGTCTTGTTTCGCAAGGGCCTGAACCTATAAGCGCGCGTATAGAGGCGTTTTCGATATGAAAAATGTTCTGCTAGAGCGCCACCAGCAGAAGGTGTTGGTCTCGACTGCGTTCATGACGCCACTGTCGACGACGAATGAATGGTTCCGAAAACGCCCGCGGCAGAGCCTTTCTTCGTCTCCTGCACACGGTGCAACTTCGGACAGCACATCCGCGGCTTCAAGAAAAGCGCAGCTCAAACTCTCGGTAACCGAGTACCGTGCAGCGCATTATCAGGGACAGGTTCGCACGACCAAGAACACAGACGCGATGTCTACTCCCAACCTCACCTCCCGACCCAGGCCGCTCATGGTCAGTGTTAAGACCATCGATGGCGAAGAATGAAAGGATTTTCTGCTCTGGATGAGATAGGTCAAGATGGCCATGTCATTCGCCATGCTACAGTCCGAGCACAGCGCGTGGCGCTAGCTATCTCCAAGATCGGTGCTCGAGCGCGAGAATGGGCACTAACTTGCGGTGTTTCGGTTGAAGCGGCGTTCCTCCCCTGGAAGGAGCTGAAGCGTCATCTTTTGCGAGTGTTCTCGCCGCCTTGTCAGGCATCTTGCGTGCGATCGTGTTTCCTTGCTGCCCGACAGGGCAAGAAGGTCTTGGTAGACTTTGTCCGAGATTTGACAACTTTCACTGCCGGGATGACAGCCGATCCTCTCCCCGAGGCGGTCGTAGTGACCGCCTTTACAGAGGGCCTCTACACTGGCGTGTCCAGAATTGAAGTCTTCCATGAGCATTTGTCTTTTTCTGAAAAGCGGTAAATATAGCACTGAATGCCGAATTTAACTTTAAATCGGCAAGACCTGGTTCGAATGCATACTCTAGCAGCTCGTCGAACGGGTCTGAGGCGATGAATCTCAGCTATGCTGAGAAAGAGGATGGGAAGCTTCCTTGTGGCGTTTGAACACCCGACAGTGTTTTGTCTGTGGAGACACCCGTCACCTTCAAACTGTTGTCCCCTGCGCATGGCGCGTAAGGGTTCGTCGAGCCGATGTCTCGCTTTTAACCAGTCTGGTTTGTCACGGGGAAACGACAAAATCCAGAAGGCGAAGGGCGCCCTACTGGGAGAGAACTGAGTTCGGTTGTCCCTCAAAGAGGTAGAGGGCCCTACCGCGAAGAGCGCTGTGCTCTTGAGCGCGGATCCTGTATGCAAGATGGTAAACCGTAAACCGTGAAGGGCTTTGAGAAGCCATGGCACGCGACGCTCCATGATCGAAGAAAGTCAGCTGTGTGCTGAAGCGCTGAAAGCGCGGTTGAGTGACATCGTCACTGTTCGCTTAGCAACGGGGACTTGTCTCACTGTGCCGAAGGTCCTTGCGAGCCTCGGAGTAGCACGTGATCCACTGAGCACTGCTCACGTTTTGAAGCAGTAACTGCATGCCAAGAGCGGTATCGAGGGTGAGGCCCTAGTGATGCGTATGGAGTGGTGGAGTGGCACGTAATCCACTGAGCACTGATTACGTTTCGAAGCAATTGTGCATACCAGAAGTGGCATAGTCAGACGAGGTACGAGGCATTCCTAGCAAGGCCTTTCTGATGCCCGTGGATTGGCACATCATCCACTGGACGAAGACTGCGGAACTAGCAGCTCTTTGTCGGATGTCGTTAATAACATTAAGGCTCCGATGGAGCAGGGAGTAGGGACACCGTGCATGCTCCCACAGGTCTCAATGAAACGTAAAGCCTTTTTAGAGGAAACAGTGATGTCGTATGTTATCTGCAGAACGCAAGGCGTCGACCCTAACCCAGGGCGTGTCTACCGTAGATGGCTGCGCACAGATATAAACCCATGTCAACGGTATGACGGGAGAAGAAGAAGGCAACGTCACACTCGCGGCTATTTCCGCGGTGAATGCTCTTCTTGAGCTGGACGAAATGTCCTTCGAATAGTTTGGCGGTGTCTTTAACGCAGGCGATTTGGCTGAAGTGGTCATTATGCGACCGGACGAGGAGATTAGCTCGCCGTCGCTTCTGGATGAAGCTGTCCTGGAGGACACCAAGAGGGTGCTGAACACACGAAGTGGATTGTCGATCCTGAAGGATCCCTCGAATCCGTACTATTCTTTGGTAAGGAAATTTAAGACGTCGTCTCCAAAGACCCGCCTTCGGTCCTACCTCCAGACCGAGGTGTGCGCCACGAGATCGGCCTGGATCCAGATTCCAAATACTGCGTAACACGCTAAAGGCCTCTACCCAAGGAGCAGTGCGACGTCATTGACGTCTTCTTCCGTGTGAAGCACGACGCAGGATTGGTGCGTGAGATCAAATCTCCTCATTCGACACCCACGTTTTGTGTTAGAAAGCTGAACGGCAAGTAGCGTATCATTTACGCTTACAATTAGTTCAACGCCGCCTCCATTCCGGCACAGATGCCGATACCTAGGAATTGTGTTCTCTAAAGCAAAATGGCTGGCTGTACAAAGTACAGTGTACTCGACTTGGTCGATTTTTATTACTAGTTGCTCATGAGAGCGAGTGATATTCCGCTGGCAGCGATGAGCACTCCAAGCGGAATGCTCTAGGAGTGACTGTTGATGCTTCAAGGGCTTTTAAATGCGCCAGCTACATTTAATCTTCTTGGGACGCAATTGTTCAGGCCCCACCAGGCGTATGCACATACATACTTCGACGGCAACTTTGTTCACAGTCGTGCGGACAAGGAAGGACGGATTTAGATAACCACATCGTCCATTTGAGAGCGATGCTCGAGTGCATGCGCACGAATTATTTATAGGCTAATACAGATAAGTGCATCATCGGCGTGGAAAAAATCTTCTTTTGAAGGTGCTTCATCGGGAAGTA